AAAGGGCCTTAAAAAAATGGAGCTGCTTCCCGTTCTCCCAGAACATTGATTTTTGTGACCACAGTTACAAACAGCCTCCAGAGAGCCTGTTCTACACCAGACCAGTGGAGCTGCAGCTAGAGCCCATCATCATCCTCATCTGGTTGTAGGTAGGCAATCTAGTATATTATTTGTGGCACTAATCTCTAGTCCCCAGAACCATTTCAGCTTAATGTAGTGGTTCTGGTGTCCCTGCAGGCCTTTTAATGTAAACACGGTGGCACTGCAGCACTGGCGTTAGTTAACATGGCAGATCATATGGGTGGCGCATTGTGATGTCACATGGGGGGGGGGGGCAAACTTTACTTTTGCCTAGGGCGGCAAAAATCCTTGCACCGGCCCTGCACAGGTTTTCCCCAAGTACAGCAGTAGATTCTAAAATTAAAAGTAACTGGTATTATAGCTCTTTTCTATGGAATGACAGGTGAATGATACAATGGGATGCAATATGTGACTTGGAACCTGAACTGTTAAACATATCAAGTAAATATTTTGCATGCATACTCTTCGAGTTCAGTGGCAATTTTTGAAATTGAGATTAAGTGGGATTATCATTGTTTTCTAAAGAATGACAATGGTGAATGACTAAAGAGCATGCCTATAGACTATAATGGGAGGCAACACATAAACTAATTCGCAGGTAAATCTGTTATGTAGCAACTTCATTTTTACCACAGGTGTTCCCCAAGTACAGCAGTAGATTATAACATTAAAAGTAACTGGGATTATAGCTCTTTTCTATGGAATGACAGGTAATTGACACAATGCCCATAGAGTATAATGGAAAGCATTACGTGATTTGGAATCTGAACCGTAAAACATATCAAGGAAAAAATTTGCAGGCATACTCTACGAGTTCAGTGTCAATTTTTTAAATTGAGATTAGGTGGGATTGTTAATGTTTTCTATAGAATGACAAGGGTGAATGACTAAAGAGAATGCCCATAGAGTATAATGGGAAGTAAAATATAAACTCATTTGCAGGCAAAACTGTGCTACATAGCAAATTAACCTTTGCCACAGGTGTTCCCCAAGTACAGCAGCAGATTGTAAAATTTAAAGTAACTGGGATTATAGCTCTTTTATATGGAATGACAGGTGAATGATACAATGGAATGCCCATAGAGTATCGTGTATATCAACTCTTTTGTAAGGAAATCTGAAAGACATAGCAAGTTAAACATAGCATCCCTCCTTAGACAACTTAGACTACAGCACTTAGCCTACTACTACAGCCCCTAACCCTCAATTGCAGCCCCTACTACATCTCCTAACCCCCTACTACAGTCCTTTAGTCCCCACTACTAGCCCCCATACTCTACTTTAACCCCTAAAAGAGCCCCTTACTGTAAAATTGCAGCCTCCATACCCTACTACAGCCCCAAACTCCCTACTAAAGCCCCTTTAATCCAACAGCAGCCCCTAACCCAACTACAGCACCAAACCCCTCTACTACAGCCCCTATCCCCAAAAGTAGCTGATATCCCCCACAACAGCCCTAAGCACCCTACTACAGTATTATTGCACCCAGCCACCAGTGACATTAGGATCTGCCCTGCCCCTTTAGAAGGGCATGCATTCAGTGGAATGTATGATAAGAGCATTGTGCTGTATATGACAAATAATACTGTTTTGTGTTCGACAAATGTATCTGCAAAAACACATCACACAAATTAAGCATACCAACCCACAACTCTTATTCTTTGCAGTGAGAGTACCTGCATTACCTACGCACCTTGGACGTAAAAACCCAAGCGCCTAGTATACTATAGGATATTTAATACCCTACTAACCTCAACATCTGAGGAAAGGGATTTAGGAGTAATTATTTCAGATGTAAAAAAGAGCTATAATCCCAGTTACTTTAAATTTTACAATCTGCTGCTGTACTTGGGGAACACCTGTGGTAAAGATGAAGTTGCCACATAACACAGATTTACCTGCAAAAATATTGATAATCCCACTTAAACTCAATTTCAAAAATTGCCACTAAACTCGTAGAATATGCCTGAAAAATATTTACTTGACATGTTTCACAGTTCAGATTCCAAGTCACATATTGCTTCCCATTATACTCTATGGGCATTGTGTCAATTACCTGTCATTCCATAGAAAAGAGCTATAATCCCAGTTACTTTTAATTTTATAATCTACTGCTGTACTTGGGGAACACCTGTGGTAAACCTTACTTTGCTATGTAACACAGATTTGCCGGCAAATGAGTTTATATTTTACTTCCCATTATTCTCTATGGGCATTCTCTTTAGTCATTCACCCTTGTCATTCCATAGAAAATATTAATAATTCCACCTAATCTCAATTTCAAAAATTGACACGGAATCTGGAGAGTATGTCAGCAAAAGATTTATTTCATATGTCTAATAGTTTTGTCTGTCATTGAAATATTTTGTTTCCATTATTCTCTATGGGCATTCCTTTTACTTCCATTATTGTCTGTGGGCATTCCACTGCATTGTTAAAGTCTATGGGCATTCCAATCTGTCATTCCTTTTAGTATGTCCCTCGATGTGGAAATATGTGCGGTTTCTTTCTCTAAATAAAGAAGAGATTGAGTCAAATGGTAGAAATAAGGAGAGACTGACATTGGTAATGTACTATAAACATCTCACAATTTAGAAAAGATTATCATCTTGTCTTAATGTAACCTGTAGAAGGGTACCATATTTTTTCCATTAATCAATGTTGCATATAAGTGAGTAAATAAAAGGGAGAAAGTTGTATTTTAAGATAGCAGATTCACATTTAACATCTAACACCTAAAAACTAATACAGACAGTCATGCTGGTACTATTCCCTGTGATCATATGGTATGTGCTGTTTTTGTTTTAGCCTTTATCAGATTTAAAAGTGTGTAACCTCGTTTCATGCATTTAGCAGTGTAGAATGATTAAGGTAAAATCAGCATTGAGAAGTTGGCATGAGGACTCTGAGTATAATGTTATGGTTATATGTTAAAGGGACCCTCTAGTCACCAGAACAACTACAGCTTAATGTACTCTATAGCATGTCCCTACAGGGTTTTTGCTGTAAACACTGCCTTTTCAGAGGAAAATGCAGTGTTTACATTGCTGCCTAGGCACACCCCTAGAGGCCACTCCTCAGAAGGCCACTAGAGGTGCTTCCTGGGTGCAGAGCGCATGGAGGTGCTGAAATGCATCTCTATCAAGAGATGCTGATAGGCCAGGTGGCATTTAACTCCACCTCTACCCCACCTCCTTGTCAGTGCATTAGAATTAATTATCTCAACCAATACAATGCTTTCTCATGGGAAAGCAATGTGATTAACCAAGATCATCAATTCTGATTATGTCAGCCAAGGAGGCAGATCATGGTGGAGCCAGTGCAAGCAGACCCGCATGGTGTTGAATATAAGGTAGGTGTTAGACTTATTTAAGGGGGGTGCAAGGGATATAAATAGTTATTTTAACACGTTTTTGTTTCTGAACCTATAGTGTTCCTTTAGGTACTGCCATAGGACACCAAACTTTTGTTGAATGTATGTAGGACCAGTTCAGGCAAACTTTACATCCAGTAGCAGTAAAATGTCAGTAGTAGCCATAGTTTGTAAATGAATGAGGATGTCTACGGTTGTTGTCTGTAAGGATTGAATGATAGCCAATCCTTCAGTGTGCACAGTTATATAAAAGAGAATAGCATCTGGTACTGGGGTGCTTCCTTTCCCGTTTTGGCATGATCATTACTATTGCAGACCATATCTCTCCAGGCAGCACACTTTTTTTTTAATATATACAATAGTTAAATAAAGTAAGAATATTTACAACTTCTTCTCTTGGAGGGTCGTAGGTTTAAACTACCCTAGTTTAAGTAAGGCTGTACAGATGGATGTTTCATGGGGAATTAGAAATTGGTTATTTGTAGGTCATAAAAAAGGTATTTATCTTGTGCCAAGTTCTATAACTGGTAGAATTTAGAAATTTAGTTTAATACCCTTTTGGCCTTTAGCGTCATTAGGTTTGGATTTTAGTGTTCTTTTTAAATCGACTGGATAATATTGTAAAAGAGCTCTAGTCCTGACAAAGACGTTCCCGAGTTCCAGTTCGTAAAGGAATCGGGGGAGAATAAGGCGCTGAAATGTAAATAACTCTATCCCTCCACAGTAACTGGACAATACACAGTTCTAGGAGTACAAAGAAAATGTTATTCAAGGGCAAGTTCTTTCATAAGCATATCCCCAGCAATCCACATACATTTCTATTGTAAGTCCGCCCGCAACCCAACTAGCAGAGGACCAAGTCTACTACAAATATTGCTCTGGCTTTATTTCATTTTGTATAATATCTATGGTTCCTAAGTAAAATCTGTGACAAATGAAAGGGCATTAAGTTTATTTTTAAACAATCTGATCTGCTTATGTAGTTCAGGAGAGAGCTGGTTTTTGACATTCAAATTTTCTATTTGAATTTAAGTTTCGGTTGAGATTTTTGGCATGATCCCTATATACACTCTGAAGACTTTTTATTTTTATTTTCAAAACTAGTGCTCAAAGGAGCTTCTGAGAAAGGGTTTGTTAGCCAAATATACAGATGATATGCCGCCGAAGCTAGAAGCAAAACACGTTTCAGGAGAGCGGGTAGAGCATTTTATATTTACTTCTACATTTTATTTTTGAATGTTTGATAAAAGGAAGTTCCTGCTTGTGAGAAGGGGATTGTTAGAACTAGCTAACACACAGAGCTAGGTTCATAAAGGCACCAGCACACATTGTTCCATTATCACTTATGCTGGATTGTACCACATTATCTAGACATATTGCACTAATGTGGCACTTTATTCTCTCAAGGAACGGTCTCAGAAATTGCAAGGATGCCCACTTACCAACTCTGTTTATTTAGAACAAGGGGGATTGTTGGCCTATATTTAAAGGAGCACTATAGGGTCAGGAACACAAACATGTCTTCCTGATCCTGTAGGGTTAAAACCACCATCTAGCCCCCTCATGCCTCCCTAAATATAGTAAAATATTACTTGTATTCAAGCCTGAAGCTGCATGCTTTGTCCCAGTTTCCATTTGACCCGCCCACTGCCATCAGCAGAAGTGGTAGCCTGAGCCAATCACAATACTTCCCCATAGGATTGGCTGAGACTGTCAAGGAGGCAGATCAGGGGCAATTCAAACACAGCCCTGGCCAATCAGCATCTCCCCATAGAGATGAATTGAATCAATGCATCTCTATGAGCAAAGTTCAGTGTCTGCATGCAGAGGGAGGAGACATTGAATGTTTGGATGCATTTTAGGCAGCCATGACCTAGGAAGGATCTCTAACAGTCATCTAAGGAGTGACCAGTGAAGTTATCACTAGGCTGTAATGTAAACACTGCATGTTCTCTGAAAAGACAGTGTTTACAGCAAAAAGCCTGAAGGTAATGATTCTACTCATTAGAACAAATTCAATAAGCTGTAGTTGTTCTGGTGACTATAGTGTCCCTTAACACACTGCTTATCATACTCAGAGCCAGTTCACAAACATATTGCATTATTTTGGCACTTTATTTTTTAAAATTACTACTTTATTGGAAGATCCCGGTTATCGCGTAAGGCTGAAGTGCAGGCCCGGACTGGCCATCAGGTACAGCGGGCAAGCAAATGCCCGGTGGGCCGTGGTGGCCATGGGCCGAGGCTGGTAGGGGAGGTCACAGGATCTCCCCAGCTAGTCCATGCAGGGCTGGCACTATCCGAGCACCAGCCCCGCTGTTTTCCATGACGGGTCGGTGGGGAGATCAAAGTTCACTCACCACTAGGACCCCCTCACCTCCACTCTCTCTCTCCCATGTACCACCGTGGTACCATCCCTGGTGTTCCTAGTGGTGAGTGAACTCTAGCCCGCATGGACCACCAGGGATGGTGAACTCACCACTAGGACCACCAGGGATGGTGTGAGGGATGGTCCCCCTCCCCCCCCAGGCTAAAAGTAAGAAGGGAGGGGGGGATATTATGCCTGCTTAGTTTTTTTTATTTGTTTGTTTTTTACCACCCCAACACACACACACATACACAATACTTCCAAACATACACACACACATATATATATATATATATATATACACACACACACACACAAACACCCCCAAACACATTCCATACACACAATAGATCCCTTACCCAACTCTGGATCATCTACACACAGACACAAACTAGATTCCTATATACACTCTGAATCTGTTATATACACACACTCACTAGATCTCTTATACACATTCTGGGTCCTTCAAACACACGCATATATATATATGTGTGTGAAGGCCATTTGGCCTGAATTTGTGGGAGGAGTAATGATCCTATATAAACCCTACCCCCCACTTACCTTTGCCTTGCAAGCCGTTTGTCTCCTTAGTTACCTGCACTTCTGCTCGAGGTTGCCGCCAAATCCTGCCTCGAGTATCCAGTCCCTTATTTACAGCTCCTGTCATGACCTCTGGGCTCCTTCACCGGCTTCGTTATTCGTTTTCCGACTTCTGGTCACGAGACCGGCACCGACACGTAAGCACAAACGTGGGAAATGGTGTTCGGCTATTTCCCACGTTTGGGCCTAAAAAGGGGGGGATAGGCTACCTATTATTATTACTTACCCATTTCGTTCCTTACGCCGTTTCTTTACTTCTGCGTTTGGCTCTTCGTCTAACAGCCGAACGCAGAAATTCATACTCACCTTTCTTTTTCATTCGTATAAATATTAATATACCGATCGCTCATACTTACCTTACGTTCGGCTGTTTCACACGTTTCATACAGCAAAACATCTTCAAGAAGTGATTTCCAGGTTCCAGTTTCACGGTATCAGGTTTAAAAAAAAAAGAAAAAAAAAGGTCTTACCAATTTTACATTTCTCCTGAGGCCTCATTCAGCCACCACGGCCTTGCGTAACCCTCACCTCCCAAATTGGGTTCTAAACGTTTATACACACCAGGTTTAAAAACGCCATCTAGACACCAACTACTCTCATAAACCTGCTCAACCGAGCTACTATCGTATTAACGTATCATTTCCTGTTTATCGTTTCTACATAATATTACTTAGACTTACGCCATTTTACACAGTTCCACTACGTTATCAACATCCAACTGGCTATCCAGTCTCCGGCATTCAGTATCAGGTATTTTATCTTTCTCATTACGATTACTTTCTCATTAAGGCCTCACTTTGCCTTCGTATCATTCATATATTCACATCCCTGGGTACCCAGGGGCTTGTCTCTTATTGTGGACCAACGTTCAGGTCCCTCAGCTTACTCATGCTTATGTTACAGTATCTCTGGTACACACCTACCCATACGTTCTACATTTTCACACTTAGCACACCGGTGGCACGCCTCAGGCCCACTAGCATCTCCTTTTTCCTTAGGTTCTGGATCAAGCCCGTTTCCTGCAGAAGCTAATTTATAGCCATATCGAAGTCTACCTGTGCTTTGTCCGAAAAAACAGGACTTATACTCAAGGTTAAGTATTTACATACGTACATATACATCACTGCGAGAGACAAGCCCCAGTAGTTTAGAGAACTGGCTCTTAGGGTTAGGTTCTGGCCTTAGCTATCTAATTAATACCCGGTCCTGCGAGGTCTACACCCCCACCTCATACATGGAGGTTTGGCCCATGACCAAATCATAGTTAGCCACCTCGCTCACCCTTCTTGTGGGCTGTAGCCATGGCTTCCCAAGTCACGGCCACACGTTTTGATTCTCTTTACGGTTACCGAGAGGCCTACACAACGCCACCATGTGCATGTGGCTACAAAATCCCATCGGGCCAAATCATAGGTAGAGCCTCTCTTTGCCTCTTGGCACTAGCAGGGCCTCATCTGTCACATGGTCTAGGTAAACTTTTCGCTTCGGCACTACCTAGCAGGCCAGTTCTCGGGAGGTCTCACCTTCACCTCCTCTTCACCCTACTTATTCAAATCATTCTCTTTCAGATGTCACAAAAGCCGATCACCAACATAGCCTTGCGCCTCACCCCTTTTACCAACAGGTCCCTGAGATACTGGACCATTCCAAAAATCTCAGCAGAGCTCAGAAGCAGGGGTATCCCCTTTCCTGCCATGGCCAGAAAGGCCGAACTATATAGGCTCATGACCACTCAGGCCAACGTTCCCAGGCCAGGCTGTAGTTCACAAATCCTGCCAGCTCACACTTCGTATTCCACACGAGACACCCTGGCTGCTATACTCACCAACCTCCAAACATTCAATCACAGACTAGCAAAACTGGAATCCGCTATAGCCACACTAGGTGCCTTGTTGGCCTCGGCAAACCTTCCCCTGATGGTTTCAGCCATACCCACTTCATACGTTTCCCCGGCTCACCCTTTTCCTGACTTCATCAGAAATGGCATTTCCAAGGGTAATGATGTTAACTCCATGGCCCTACTGCTGAATTCCCAAACTACACTCACTAGCACGACAGTCATTTCCACGGCTCACCCCCCCACACTGGGGTATGGTGATAACGGGGTATGTAATCTCATGACATGCGGGGCACTGCACATCTGCTCCATATGCTTCAGAACCCACACCAAGTCCACTTGCCCACCCCTTCTCTCACCTAAGAAACGTCTGACCGAAGTTAACATTGACATCCTGGAATACTATCTCCAGTCACATCCAGCTAGGCACCTGGTAGATTATCTGCTGACAGGTTTTTCACGGGGGTTTCACACGTGCACTAGGAGGAGCCTCCAGTCCTTATTGGGGTCCCTCAACTTTGCTATGCGCATCATTGCGCAGGGTAGATCTTTTGTCTCCAGGCTTCTCAACTTGTTCCACGGTGTGCCCGACTCATGCCCAATCATGTTGGGCGATCCGGCTAGGGCGGATTTACACATGTGTAGTAGTTTTCTGGCCGATTGGAATGGGATCTCTTTGTTCATTCCCCCACTTTCAGAGCACTCACCTTCGATTCACACAGACGCAGCGGCACACAAATCTATGGTTTAGGGACGACTGGCCCCCTGGACGGATGCCTTACCGGCCTTTAGAGAAACATCTACTTTATTAGAGATCTACCCCATCGTAGCGGCCGCCCACACATGGGGTCACCTTTGGACCGGCAAGGCAGTTAGGTGCTTCTCCGACAACTCCGCAGCCTGTGACATCATTAACAAAGGTCGGTCCTCCTCCCTAACAATTATGAGGCTGATTTGCAGGCTGACGTGGTTGGCAGCAACCTCTCAGTTCTTCCTAGTCTGTATCCACATTCCTGGTGTTCACAACACAGCAGCTGACGCTCTGTCACACTCCCAATTTGATACCTTCTTCCAGGCACTCCCCACCACTTTCCATCTAGGATACCACCTTTCCACGAGCTAATCTGGGACATTTGCACAGGTACGCACGCTTCACGCAGGGTCACTACTTTCCCTGCACATAGGCCAGGGCTTACTGTATTGCACCACGACACATACAGGAGCTGGCTTAAATTCGAGAACCTCGCTGTTATAATCACGGTAAATTTATTGCCTTTTTCTCTAAACCATCAACCCAAGCTTCTTACTTAAATCCTTTTATGCTGTCACTCAGCTGTTACGTCTCCAAAAGGCCCTACAGCAGCAGCTTCAAAACACTTACACCCCAGTCTACATCACAAACAATGGGGTCACAAGAAGCATCAGATCAGGTACTTGCATACCTCAGAGTGAAGCACCTTACAAGCTTTCGTTACTCATGCTGTATTAACTTGCAATGAAGTGTGGTTTCTTTGAATCATCTTTTGCCCTCTTTTTACATGCCTACTCATATGTTGGTTTCGGCACACCTCAACCAACTTTGCTTCCCCTTCTACATTCCATACGTATTAGATAAATTCCGAGCAAAAATCACACACACACTACACTCCTAACATACACTCTCCACACACACAATAACATGTATACAAACACACACACACACACACACACTCTCTCTCTCTCTCTCTCTACAGCCCCTAACCACATATGCATTACATTACACCACAAACACAACACGACTAAAACCGACCTTATTACACAATACCATACCACAATCAGCTCACTCTATATACACACACACAATCACACAAGCAGGCTGCAAAACACATGCACAATACTCTTTCCTGGCTCTTTTGTCACCTGGTATCCATTTATAAAGACACCAGTTGCAAGGAAACACAGTGCAAGTATGTTATTAAATTTGCTTGCGCTGTGCAGAACAAATACAGGGTTTTTTCTCATGCTAGAGCTCTTCAGCAGAGCTCTGTGCATCGTCTGTCCTGGAAGAGAATTGAACCAACATGCTCACTTTGAGAGGGGGCATGTGTCATTAGTGATGCCCCGCCCCGCCCCCTTCTCAGTGGGCCGCTGTGATAAAAAAAAAAAAAAAAAAAATGCCCGGGTCGAATTTTTTCTCAGTCCGGCCCTGGTGGAGTGGAACCCAGTTGAGTCATCAAAGGCTCCAACTTCGTAAGTTACAGTATTATTTATAACGTTTTTTCCAGGTATGCACGGTTTTGTTTAATTGTTTATCTGTTTCTTTTCAAGTTTAAATATTGATTTCATAGACAAATAAGGTAATATTTATTCATTTCGCTCCACTTTTCATTTTTGATTTCAGTTGTATATTTTTAAAGAACTTTACAGACATTTTCAAGGATTCCATAGTTATACACATTTCTACCTTTGTGGTGAAAAAAAAAAAAAAAATCGCAGAGGACCCTTTCAAGTTAGAATATTTACTTGTACAATTATTATTTTTTACATCGAACAGTAAAAAGATCATAGAAAAAAAAAGGCATTAAACCAAAAAAAAAAAAAAAGTTTTGTGATGTGTGCACCAAACTATATATCCATACACACACACACAAAAGTCTGTACCTCATACCGTTCAAGTCACGCGTGGCAGATCTGGCCATTTAAGTCGTCACAAATACTGCTGCACCTAGTTTACCTTTGATATAGTGTAGCATATTTGAATGCTATTTTGCAGATTTTTAATGACTACCATTTACATAAATATTTTGGATAATAAAAAGTCCACTGACCCTTTACTAAACAGTACATTTTGGGCTATTGCCAGTCTTCTAAACACAGACTGACTGAGGTCTGTTGAATATTTGAAAAAGATAAAATATTAAAAAAACTGAACACCCTTAAATTGCAATGACCATTGCAAACTCAAGTTTTTAGTTATATACCTTAATATATCCTACACCGTATCAAAAGTTACATTGAAAAATTAAACTGTAGAAGAATATTTGTTTCAGATACAGAATAAGATTTTGTACAATTTGTAAAGTACAGAAGTAAAGCAGTGTTCTAAAAATGCCAGTTAAACCCCCCCCCCAAAAAAAAAAAAAAAAACACGTTATTCATATTATTGGCTTTGGCCCATTATGAATTATACTTGGCATTATGACATGAGGTTCATAGGCAAGTAGAAAATGTATCAGTATAATGCATTCTCACAATGGGTAAAACATACAGTATTAATATCCATCACATGCATCTGTTTAAAAGGAAGACAAATAAAATAAAACCATTTAAAAATCTAAAAACAAAAAAACACAACCACAAACACTTCATTGCATATATCCTCAAAGAAAACCTTAATGCATTTTATTACAAATTTTTCATAAGGGGTTTATCCTAAAGAAACATGTCTGCTGCCTTTGCAAGCTCTCCCCTTCACCCCCAGTCCAGATTTTCTGTGGCTGTCCAATCACAGGCTTCCCAATGCAATTCAATGAAAAGTCTTTGAGCTAAACAAACCAGGAAGTAACAGGACTGGTTGTCTGATTCACAGCCAGCATGGCTAACAAGGTTAATTCGTAAAAGCACCAATTTCTATTGAAATCTACACTTTGTCAAATAAAAAATGAAAAACAAAACATTAAAAACACACACACACACAAACACTTCACACATAAGTCACTTCAGCAAGCTAAAGTGTTTTCTGTGTGTGGAGTGTTACTTTAAGTAAAATAGCACTAACCCTGAATATTAGTTCATCCTTTCAAGAGAATAAATAACATTAAATGTATAATGTATTAAGTATCTGAATTATAACCATACTCACATTAAATATATATATATATATATATATATATATATATATATATATATATATATATATAAAAAATGTACACACACACACACACACACACACACACACGTTAAGTTAAAAAAAAAAAAATCAGCATAGAAGATGACAGATATGCGGTCTGAGGTTACATCTGGTTTTAGGTTCTCTCTATGCAGTCTGGTTACCACCGTTTGGTAGAAATGTTTCAAGCTTAAAAATCAGATCTACAGCAGCATCAACATCATCAACTATGTGTCCTGGTTCCACCAGTTCTGGTTCAAGCCTGAAATCCCTATGACCGTGAAAAACGGTCTCTGTAACAGACTGAGAGGTATTTGTAGGCACTTTAGTGTGAGGGTTATAAATCCCAGTGCAAACCAGGACCGAGTGGCAGCGTGTGGCAGAGGGAAAAGATAGTTCATTCTCCCAGGCTGGATCCTCTTCCTGGGAGACCGTGGCCAAGCCCGCACCAGATGCAGCTTGGACTAAGGTTTCTGAGGTTTTTCTAGAGTTGCTTTCCTGAAGATGACGGTTGTAAAGATTAGCACCATATATATCAGTCATTAGGTTATCCCTGTAAAAATGATAAAAAGAGAGTCACACGGGATCTAATTGCAGTCCAAAGCCTGTCTCATGTGGGATTTCGTCACAACATATGGCTATATTGTTTTAAGCGCACCGCTGCTTACAAAATACACCCCCCGAAGAAGTGGGTCCTAACCCACATTGTTAAAAGTTATATATGCTGTAAGATTGTTTCAAAATGGTTTTAAAGTTTTGTATACGCATGCACTGATCCAGATTTTACATAAAGTACTTCAAGCGTGGAGTGGTCCTTTATGTAACCTGGTGCCATCTCATTATTAAGTTATATCAAAATAACTTTAGCTTAATAGGGATCAACCTGCAGTGGTTCTGGTGACTAAGTGTCCAACGAAATTTATGATTTTCTATTGTACTGTGTCACAATGAAAGAAGGCTAATAAAATCTTCAAATGTGAAGAAAAAAAACAACAACAAAAAACCCCACAAAAACTAAATTGAGTACTAGGATAAAGAAGCCTGTCATCTCAAACAGGTGTGGTTATCCACTTGTTACTATGCATACACGGGTGACTACAGAATGCAGGAGGTGGGAAGATGGTTAAAACAGCAAATAAGTGTTCCAGGTGCAATGTACCAATATCTTACCCAATAGCATAGAGAGTCTGAACTGGCTTGCTCCAGCGCATCGATGCTGCCTGTAATCGGATCAGGTACTCTGCATAGTGATAGGTGATCTCACTTGGCTTCCCCATTAAGGCTTCATATTTGAGTTCTTTTCCTGTAATCTTTTTGTAGATGTTTTCCAGGCAAAGCATAAATATCCCGTGGCCAAACCTGAAACCAGATGATTACGATTTATTTCTCTTATCACGAAGATCATTGTAACTAAAATGTCTTGTACTAACAATGAAATAAAAATTTCACCGTTACGGGTTTATTGCTCTCTGGGTTGGCAACCACTTAAAGAAAAATACAATTCTAAAATATTTTATGCCCGGGCCTAGGTCCTGGGCACCACCATCTTTGTGTGGGCAGATGAAGGCCCTGTGGGACAAGTCATCTGCCCACACTAAATAGCACTGTAAGATTCCTGCGCATGCCCAGTTAAACATTTAGGCATTCGCTATTGTCTGAAATTCAGACGGGAATTTCGTCTAGTCATCTAGGTAAATAGTGAGCCTTACAGGTAACCAATCATACAGAAACATAGAATGTGACGGCAGATAAGACTAGGGACTAATGAAAGTATTTAGAAAATTGGGCAGACTAGATGGGCCGAATGATTCTTATCTTACAGCTAGGATAGCCTCATGCCTATTCCACACATGCTAAAACTCCTTTACTGTGTTAACCTCTACCACTTCAGCTGGAAGGCTATTCCATGCATCCACTACCCTCTCAGTAAAGTAATACTTCCTGTTGTGGTAATTTTTCTTCTTTTAAATATAGTCTCCTCTTTTACTGTGTTGATTCCCTTTATGTATTTAAATGTTTCTCTCATATCCCCACTGTCTCGTCTTTCCTCCAAGCTATACATGTTAAGTTCCTTTAACCTTTCCAATCAGGCTCACCATTTTATCAGAGCACTCTTAATGGTTGGCTTAAACCATCCAATCAGAGCGCTCAGAGTCAAATTGCAGGGTGTGAGAAGGCTTTATAAGCCTTTCCCTGCCCTGCGGAGCTCATTTTAGCGTTGGGATTTTTTTTTTGCGCTCAGGTTTTCATTTTAGAAGTTCGACAGGAATTATTTATTTTATTTTGGCCTTTTTGGGGGCTGAGAAAAGAAGGTTTTATGAAAAGGAAGACATTTTAAAAGATTTTCTATTTACAGGTATCTAGTTGTATTTCCCCCCCCCCCCTCCCCCTCTCACTATTTTTAGGGTGAGGTGGGTAGGTAGAGCTTTATTTTTTTTCGGTGGGGGGATAAATGGGGGCCCCTAGTCACCTGGGGAGGGGTATTTATACATTTAGACCCCACCTGTCACCCATGGGCAGGGGACAATAGGTCCTCCCCCAATTGTCATTTAGGGCCTAAACTTGCCACTCATAGGTGGGGGCCAGGGCAACAAGCCCCTTGCATTGTGTTTTAGGGCCCCAACCTGAATTGGCAGGAGGAGGGGAGAAGGGGGAGGTTGATGTCCCCAGTTTAGTTGAATAGTGAGCAGCCCCAGGCTTTCTTTAAAACATAAGACAGATAGAAAGAAAAGTAGATTCTGAGAGAGGAAGAGAAGAGTAAGTGATTGGGTAAAGGTAAGTTCGGCATGACAGTGCCTCTTTTGAATTACCAGCACATTGTTCAAGTAGCACCATAGTGCTTTTACAGGAAAACTAGCAGTTGAGAAAACGGTTTCTGGCACTGTAATAGCAGTTTGACCAGTGTGCCAACTTCAGAAGTGAAATCTACAGATCACTTCTAGCTTACCTTGGTGACCTTGCCTCTGACATCCACATCAGATCCATGTTACAAGCGAGAAGAGGTATATGGGGCGTACTGGCAGACTGGTGAGAGTTTGCTGGGGATCCTCCAGTCAATAAGACATCAATAATGATTTGGAGGTTGGACTCCCATCTAATTGGTTCACCAAAAAGTATCACAGCTGTAGGTGATAAATCTATTGTTACAAGAGAATCGGTCTGAACTCCTTGGACTGAGTGCTACCTAATACACTGATTTAAAGCAACACCACATGCATAGAGATAGAGATCTATCTAGATAGAGATAGAGATAACCAAAAAGTGCCCTTGCTCCTCTCATTTCCACTTTGGATCAGAACTTGGCAATCAAAATTGATTTAAAATGGTTTGACTGCTTACCTGGGATCTGCCAAGCACTGTTCCCTGCCTCCACTACTGATGAAGACATGGAAGCTCCTAAGAAGATCGCGGTCACGCCAAAGCATTAATTGGCATTTGATATATGCTATGAGTTGTTTTTGTACATGTTGGGATAACATTTATTGTGGGCTTTGATCTTACACCAGGCCTAAGCCATAAAACTACTATATAACCATCACCAGAGCTGGACATAGGGCAGACTTTGGGTTCTTCAAAGGACAACATAATTTAAGAAAATATGGAATGGGCAATAAACTGCCAGGCCAAACCCCTCTGATCCACCCAGGGGTCTGCCCACTTAGAAACAACTAGTTTAAAAGATATATATATTGAAGAGATTTATTTTTTCAACAACTACTTGGAGACCTGTAACATCTGAATCTCCCACAACAATTATATATAAGGGGTACCCTCAGGGCACTATAGTGCCAGGAAAACGAGTATGTTTTCCTGGCACTATAGTGGTCCTTTAAATCAGCTTCTGTCCTCTCTTCTGAGGAAAACTAGGGTAAACACGTTACCAAAAGGGTAAATTATATAGGTCTGATCAGTAAAGTAAGGTTGTGATACAATAATTCTACTGTGTGTGGGTTAACCCAAGAAGCCTGGATATAAAGTCTTGGTGGTGGCAGTAAAGTGTGTACTAGGGTGTTAGTGTAGAAGGGATTGCAGGGGTTAATTTAGTGGTTGCTGGGACTAGCAACAGGTAACCAAGGGGTCTGGTGTCATTAACCCTTTCACATTCTCCCCACTGTCTCGGCTGGTCACACGCTCGTGACAATCGCTCTGAGCCAATGACAGAGCTTCAAGCTCCCCACTGTCCGTATTGGAGACAAGGAACATCAGCATCCGGCAGGCCCCAGGTACATAGAGCCTTTATAAAGTGGTTTCACTTCTTAAAACGGGGGTGAGTGCCAGGAAACTCCACTACATTGAGAGTTTATAGAGATTGTCCTTTGAGTGTTCCTTTAACATTTTCCCAGGTAGAAAATTATATTTAAAAAAAATAAATAAAAAATACATTAAAATGGTCAGACAGCACCTGATTATGACTGTCAAATCTTGAAACCAAATGCGTAGACTACAATCTGGTGTGTTCCAGGAGGCATGGGAGAGGTATAGCTACATTGAAGATCCATTTTTTGATTTGGAGCTTCATTTGAAATTCTGCCTCTGTCCTACTTTAATCCTGCCTCTTCAAAACACAAAAGATTGTCATCATGATCTTTCAATAGTATAGACAGAGTTCTGCCTCATATCCAGAAAACCATCACAGTGATCTGGATACAGATATGGCAACGAAGAGAAAATAACCAAACACGATACAATGTGGCAATAAAAAGGAAAAACACACTGTCCCTTATGGTTTTCCATCCAAGAAGAAAAACAAAAAACCCTTAAATATGATTCCCGGCAGTTCTGTAGTCTTTTACATACGAAACAAAGTATCAGTACTCTGAGAACTTTGACTGGTGTTTATTTATGAATCTCTGAATTATAGCAAATTAAAATGTGAACTGCAAAATGAGGCCCAGCTGTGACTATAGTGGAGTTGGAAAATGTTTATTGATCAGTTGTTTTATCCTCGATTTTGCCATTTGGATTTTAATTTGCCAATTAAAAAGGCAAGTACTTTGTTCTTAAGATGGTCACGAACAGCCTTTATTTGCACGTTTAAAGTTGAAATTTAACCCCCTCCCCCCACTCTATGACAAGAGTTAGGGAAATCTTAATGTTATCCTGACAATTTGTTTATCACAAGAGGTTTAATTGTACTTTTCTCATACAAAAATATGCAGTCCCATTTAAGATTTTGGTAAAGTCATTAGGCAAAGGAATACTGACCGTCTATCTTGGGAATATTCGCTGCTGTAGATGGCTGCAAGGAAAAGCACACAAGTGAGTCACTTTGAATTATGAATAAATAAGATACATGAAAACAGTTTTATATATTTTCACAGGCCCAAGCGGTAGGAAGTTTCTGTACTGTACCCATTTGTCCATCAGTTTTAACTGCAGTTGGAATTTATATTACAGTAATAAACAGCTGTTTTTTTGTTTGTTTTTCAAATATTTCGTTTCTATTTCAAGGTGTATTAGCAGAGAAAACACAGAAATTATTAATATTTTATTATTTATATAGCACCAGCAAATTCCATAGCGCTGTAAATAAACAGCATGACAGTTTACAGTAATGTACACAGGTCTATAGTAACAAAAGGTGGCAAGTAGAGGTTTGTTACACAGTGTACATCAGTAGTAAGGGGGAAATTGGGGTGGGGGAGAAATCATAGCAATGTTTAGAATAGCTAAGCGGTTAATGCCCAGTTCTGTGGTATCATTAGAAGCTCTCAGGCATATTATCCAGTTGCAACGACAAGGTACACTCATCACTGTACCTGTAATTCCTCTCTATCATAGAACATACAAAATAAGCAGTAATCACCTCTAATTCAAAGTCGTTTGTTGGGGTAGAACATCGAACCTTAATGGGTAACTGGGGAGGGGTGAGTGATATGCTACTCTACCACATGAGTTTCAATGGTGAATAATAAAATCTGGTACCTACTAATAAGGGTTGCCATTTGGTACACCTCACTGAAGCAGATGCGTAAAGAAATAAGGCTAGCATTCCTTGCTGTGCAAATTTAATAGGAATAAGTGCAAACCCACCAAAAGTATAATGCAAAGATAACATTTCCAAGACTTAAAATATCGTCACATGGGATAGAAGATGCGGGGGGATCCTAGAGTGAACCTAAACGCGTTTCACGTCTACGTAGACGTTTTATCAAAGACTGATAAAACATCTACATCAGGGCTCCTCAACGCACACCTAACAATTTAGTGAGAAACATTTAAATATTGGCCAGCTTTAAGAGACCTTTTTAAAAATAATTCTACCCTTTAATTTTTTTTACAACTCGTAATAATAATAATATTTAGTGTAGAGTAATATAAAAGAAACATAAGGCAAAAATGTATACTATATGAAATACCGTGAAGTGTCTACTTTGCCTATTCAAATTACCCCTCTAAGACCTAACAGACTGCTATAATGCTCCAAATATGAGACGTATGCTGTCAAATCCATCTCTCAAACTTCTAATTGTAAAGAGACTGAAATGGTCAGGTCTCTTGTATCGATCTGTAACTTTAACAGAGATTGGTTGTTAAATAGCTATGTAAAAAATATTAAAATACCCCTCAATGTCTTCTTTATATAATATACTTTTTCAAAGCATTTCCCCCCAACCCCTTTCAGTGATGACTGTTAAACCTAGAACATAAACATACCAAATTCTGCAATTGTTCCACATTGACATATGCGGTAATCAGGACAAATTAATGAATATTAAGTTCTTAGAAATACATTCCTGTAACTGCACTAAATTTTTTACACATTCTTGCCCTAACTGATCTTAGCTATCCTGGAATTCATGTAATTTATTATTACTAATTATTTCAGTGCAGACTACTTCTTTACAAGAGAAACACAATACTAACCAGAATCTTTGGTCTCCGACTATGATCCACCATATCGAGGAAAGGCAAGGACTCCCGAACAGAGTCAACTGTGATCGGATTAGAAAATCCTAAACTGTAGATTATTAGTTAAAGGTAATAAAAAGATGGGAATAAAACAAAATCCACTAACCTAGCACAAGATTATTTTTAGGATCTTATAGGTGACAAAATCATCAATGATGAATATCAAAGTACATTAGCCAATGTCAAATTATAATGGTATTAACCATTATACAGCGCTACGGAATTTGCTGGCGCTATATAGATAATAAAATGACCAACATGTATACAAAGGTAAAACCCAAGTTTTGCCCTATGGCAAGCATGTCAAACATGTGGCCCGCAGGCCGCATAAGGCCCACAATTAGTGATGTCCCGAACGGTTTGCCGCGGACTCATCATTGAGTAAACTTTGACCCTGTACCTCACAGTCAGCAGACACATTCCAGCCAATCAGCAGCAGACCCTCCCACCTCCTGGACAGCATCCATTTTACATTCATTGTGAAGCTGCATTATTAGTGAGCTGTCCAGGAGGTGGGAGGGAGGGTCTGCTGCTGATTGGCTGGAATGTGTCTGCTGACTGTGAGGTACAGGGTCAAAGTTTACTCAATGATGAGTCCGCGGCGAACCGTTCGGGGCGAACCATTCGCGACATCACTACCCACAATGTTTATTTTTGCGCCCTGGCTGCCCTGGGGCCGTTTTCATCTGTGTCTGCGACCAGCCGCAAGACAGGAAAAATATTTCCAGATTCTTGCTCTCCCGGCCACAAGAGGGCAGTGTGGCTGTGTGTCAGAGCAGACCAGAGCAGCCACTCCCCCTTCCCTCCTGCTCGCAGTGCCAGCCACTCCCCCTTCCCTCCTGCTCGCAGTGCCAGCCACTCCCCCTTCCCTCCTGCTCGCAGTGCCAGAGGAATGTCTGGCCTACTTGAGCAGGGCTGGAGGACAGACAGCAGGGGCAGTGTTTTTGAAGGAAGGAGAGGGTAGTGTATTTATTTGAGGAAGGAAGGGGGCCAGTGTATTTGAGTAGTGGGGGGTGAAGGGAGGGCAGTGAATTAATTTAAGAGAGGGAAGGGACAGTGTATTAACTTGGTGAGGGGTGGCAGTGTATTTATTTATTTGAGGGAGGGAGGGAACCAATGTATTAGGGTGGTGGGGGGCAGTGTGTTAAATTAGGGGTAGGGGGGAAATGTATTCAATTAAAGCAGAGGGAGGAGGGGCAATGTATTAGATTAAGGGGCAGTGTATTACAGTGGAGAGAAGGGGGCAATGTATTGGATTTGTGAGCAGTGTATTAGATTGGGAAGAGGGGCAGTGTGTTAGATTGGGTCTGCATGGAGGAGCTGAACACTCCCCATGGAGATGCTGTTTGTCTGCGCTGCTTTTTGCCACACATGCACAATAGCCTCCCAATGCTTTCCTATTGGAAAGCATTGGATTGGCTGAGATCATCAAGTTCAATGATCTCAGCCAAAGTGAAGAACACACCGATAGAACTTAACGTAATTTGTTTTTTTACAGCTGTGCAACAGCATACATTCTCCATTTCAGTCCCAAACTTTTACTATGTCAAGGTAGTTGGACTGAAACGTTTGTTATATGCAAATGCTCTTCTACTTAAAATAAATGTGTTATTTTGTTTACTTTGAAGTCCAACAAGCGTGATGACGTCCAGTGTCAGTTAGGCATTTTTTTTTATACTGTACTTTTTTTAAATAAACCTACGTTTCTATGAAGACTGAAGTTTTTGCGGCCAGCATAAACGTAAACCTTGTTTATTTGGCCCGTCTTAGCCTTTAAGTTTGACATGCTTGCCCTACGGAGTCAATAAAGAGATAAAGTCTCAGGTATACTGAATTAAACAAACATATTGAATTGAACATACTCATAAAAAGTTATTTTCAAAATCAAACTGGATATTTACAGATATACCAGAGGTTCGCAAGGTTCTATTCGCACACATTGGCTAATGTCATACAGATGTGTGACTAAACTAGTGGTAGCGCACTAGCCTACAATGCCCATTTTTATTCAATGCGCTGTAGAAGCACTTAACCAAGTACTGTAAAGACATGTGCACACAATATTTGTGAGAAAAGGAAAACCTGGGATAATCTGATCTTAAAGCTTTGTATCTAGGATTTCCTGTCCTATAAACCTGAATTACCGTATATACTCTAGTATAAGACGAGTTTTTCAGCACATTTTTTGTGCTGAAAAACCCCCACTCATCTTATACTCGAGTCAGTGTCTGTATTATGGCAACTTACATTGCCATAATACAGACCAGGACTGCCAGGCTCATTACAAGCCCAGCGGTCCTGTTGGGGGCTGGCAGAGAACTGTTACTTACCTTTCCTGCAGCTCCTGTCAGCTCCCTTCTCTCTCCTCCGGTCAGCTCCCACTGTAAGTCTCGCGAGAGCCGCTGGGTCAGAGCGTTGCCACAGGTTACCGTGACAACGCTCCGCGCGGCACTCACACCGCGTGATTTACAGTGGGAGCTGACCGGAGGAGAGAGAAGGGAGCTGACAGGAGCTGCAGGAAAGGTAAGTAACAGCTCTCTGCCAGCCCCCCTCCTACACAGCCCATCCACTGGACCACCAGGGAATGAGAGTCCCCCTCCCAGCCATGTATCAAGCAGGGAGGGGGGACGAAAAAAATATAAATAATAATTTAAATAATAATAAAATAAAATTAATAATATATAAAAAAAAAAATTATTAATATAAAAAAATTAATATTAAAATAATTAAAAAAATAATAATAAAAATGCCCACCAAGGCTCTGCATCACACACACCGCATTCATACAAACACACTGCATTATATACACACACACTGTAAATAAATATTAAATTAATATAATTTTTGGGGGATATAATTTTATTTAGAAATTTACCAGTAGCTGCTGCATTTCCCACCCTAGTCAATAAGTTTTCCCAGTTTTTTGGGGTAAAATTAGGGGTCTCGACCCCCAGATCAAAGCAGCCATGAAGATACAGTCCTTCCACAATAACTAAATAGCATCTTTGGGAAGTTTTATATTTAGCAGGGGTTCTACAGCACATTGAGATCATCGCGTGGGTCCTTTAAATACATACAATTATTATGAGTTGAAAACCAATTTATAAAAATCTAGCCCCCAAAAAATTATAGCTGAATTACTGACATTTTAAAATTCAGTTTTCAAATTTAACAAAATGAATTCCTTAGTAAAAAAAAAAAAAAAAATAAAAAAAAAAACCACTGTTTATAATAGCATATTGCAAAAAGAAAAGGATACTATTTGGCAATATCCAGGATGGGGCCTTGTCCAGATACCAGGACACATTTGTGGTGGTATTGCTTAAAAATTCGCAAAGGACTGTGAGACATCATGACCTGCTCCTGCGAGATCTGTAGAGAATAAAATTAAAAATTATTATTTCCTAGGGGATCGAAAGGGTGATTAAAAGGTATACTCCAGGCAACAAAACATATTTACACTTTATAGTTTGGGGCCTAAAAATTGGCTTGATTTTTCCACATTTAATTTTTAGGTTACAAAAACTAACACTCTAAAATAGAAAATAAAGCAGCTTTGTGCATCTTAACCCTGCCTCCATTACAAGATATTTCCTTTTTGCCCTTTCCCACATGGTGTACATTTTTCTCTCTCTCCTTCCTAATGTACAGTGTCCAGTAAAACAGTTGTACATATCAAGAAGAACAGCAAATATATTTGGGAGTTGTAGTTCAGCTACCAGCTTTCAGAAATGCAAAGCAGATTACTAAACTACAAATCCTATAAACTCCTGCTCTGATCTCAACTGAGGCTGTGCATAGAGCATTGTTTCTGCCACACCCCTGATTGGCCAAGCAGCTTCCTGAAGGGGGCTCATCACAAGGTTTATGTCGATGCCTTATAAAGTATAAAAATGCCAGGAAAGCCACATATGCCCCCTGTCACATCCTAAAAGGGTGAAAGGCTGATGTGTTTTCCTCCCCCCAAGGCACAGGTGCACAAAAACTGGGCATAGGCATATTAATCTTTCATAAATAAAACATTTTAAAAAAAAATAAAAAAATTATATTTTGTATATACATACATACAGAAAAATAGGTAATCTTGATCTTGATAAAGACCCCAGGAGGGTCGAAACGTTGATTTTCTGTACTTTGCACAGGATATGTATTACTTTATGATACAGTAAATACTACTTTTTTCCACTCAGAAGAAGTCCTAGAGTGCTCCCTTTATTTTCTATTGTGTGTGTATATGTATATATATATATATATATATATATATATATATATATATATATATATATATATATATATATATATATATATATATATATATATACACACACACACACACACACACACATATATACACACACACACACACACACACACACACACACACACAATACCAGTAGAGAGCACTCAGGAGTCTTTCAAGGTAAATTTCATCTGTTGCTTTATTGAGCAATTACAAATTCACACAACGTTCCAGTCAACGTTCCAGTCTACAACTGGAACGTTGTGTGAATTTGTAATTGCTCAATAAAGCAACAGATGAAATTTACCTTGAAAGACTCCCGAGTGCTCTCTACTGGTATTGTATACAATTTGGTTGGAGACAGCACCGGAGCATCAAAAGACCGGGACAATATATATATATATTCCAATATAAACTGATACAAATTGTAACTCACAGGAACTCCCAGAAGGTTTGACAACTGGTCTGCTTTAGTCTGACGCAAGCAATTTCCGGCATTTGTAACAAAGACGACTGGCACAAGGAACTGGCCCTTATTATCAACCAGCTTCTGAAAAGCTTTCTTTGCAGCAGGAATTGGGGTCTTCCCTCTCACCAGCACCCCATCAATATCAAAAAGAAGGCCAAAGGAGGGTTGATGGCTTGCCTGAGAAGAAAATAGAAATTGTATTGTTACTTGGCTTAACCTTGCTTCTTTAAAATGAAGAAAAAAAACCCATTGATTTATTCACTAAACCAAGAATTATGGCTAATTGACAAAGAAATTGTATATTTGAAGGGAAAGGCATCACTTGCCAATTATTCTTTTTCTAACCCAGCAAACACTTTTGAACAAATACACAAACCAATAATAAAGTAAAGGAAAATTATTATTTTTTTGCAAAATATGTAATAAACATTTATAAACTTTGTCAGCTTGTGAGGATTGTAAGATCTGTTAGTACATCTGCATTAAAGTGGAGTCTGGCTTGCTGTAGATGTATTCTAATCGAGGTCTTCGCTCAGACCCCCTACTGGAATCACTAGCATTTGAATAGATTGGATGGAATGTTTGTAATGCACTGTCTGCTAGTAGCTTTTTCATATGGAAATAAAATTGCTTATCTGCAAGCATTAAAATACAGAAAGACAGGGGCGAATATCAAACCATGAATAAACAGCGTAAACGTGCCAATTATGATAATTAAGAACAGGCAACTCCTCTTTTAATAACCGTGAGTCTGCATAATACAGCTCTGAGCCTGAACCAAAGAACAGCTTGTTCATATGTCAAGACAAATGATCTGAGTATTCCATGAACAATAAATTATGTCTAGATTACAGGTATTTACTTAAAACCTGGCAATTGGATTAGGGTTTATACCTGAAAAATTGGCTCAGTGAGAAGACCTATAAACTCATACATACACACGCAAATTCCAAAACGCACTTTAATTTTTAAAACTAGAATCAAAAATCTGTTTGGGTAAAGAAGATTAGCAAGTAAGCAGCCATGATGAACAGCCATCGACAAATTTAACGACAAATAAAGGGACAATATAGTCACCAGAACCACTACAGCTTAATGTCTATAACCTGTCCTTGCAGGCTTTTTAAGGTAAGCACGCTTTTTCAGAGAAAAAGTAGTTTACATTACTGCCTAGTAACCACTCCTTAGACGACGACTAAAGGTGCTTCCTGAATGCAGCACTGACTTTCAGAGTCTCCACGCTCTGCATGGAGGAGCTGAATATTCCCCATAGAGATCAAGATCTGCCTGCTTGTCTAACATCATTAGAAGGGATTCTCTTTTAGAAAATCATAATCCTTTCAGATAGGAAAGCCTTCTGAGACAGTCAATGAGGCAATTTAGGGGCAGAGCCAGCACAAGCCAAACACAGCCCTGGCCAATCAGCATCTCCCCATAGAGATGAATTGAATCAATGCATCTCTATGAGGAAAGTTCAGTGTCTGCATGCAGAGGGAGGACACACATAATGACATATTGTTCCTGTGTCACTGTGTAATTGTCTCATTTATTGTAAATTCCCCTTTCATAATATTGTAAATTCCCCCCACCCCCCTTCATAATATTGTAAAGTGCTGCAGAATTAGTTGGCGCTATATAAATAATCATAATAATGTACAGGACTGACCCAGGAAGCACCTTTAGTAGCCATATGAGGAGTGCCCAGTGGAGTGGTCACTAGGCTGTAATGTAAACACTGCATTTTCTATGAAAAAAAAATTCAAAAAGTCTGAAGGGAATTATTATACTCCCCAGAACAAATACAATAAGCTGTAGTTGTTCTGGTGAACATAGTGTCCCTTTAATAATTTGAATATTATACCAACACATTCACAACGTCAATGCACAATAGGGCAGGGAAACGGCAAACGTCGGCACTCTAGGTGTTGTGAATTACAACTCTCATAATGCTCTTACAGCTATAATCTTCGCAAAGCATCAAGGGAGATGCAGTTCACAAAATATTTCATGTCGCACGTTACCTACCCCTGCAATAGAATAAAAGCAATGGAGTTTGGCATCACTGCTGTCCAGGATGGTCGGGACTGTTAATGATTAATTAGAGGCACATGTATGGATGTGAGTTGTAATACAAGTGGCCAAGAGAGGTCACAGGATCATCCTTGTAGTCAGAGAACAAATCTTTAAATAAATGTCAGCTGTAAGCAGTATATTTTCCCATCACCCAGTTTCTTACACAAAACTAATCACAAGGTGAAGATGAAATCTATTGGAATTTCAAAATCCATTCCATAAATCAAAGCAACAGTGAAACTAGTTTTACTTTGAGTGCTATATAAAAAAAGTTACCAGAGAAACTGTGCAAGTTCCAAGGATAGATACAACTGACCTCATGTTCAGGGTCAGTAACAATAAAATACACTGATGTATCAGAGCAATTGAAATGGTTTCCTTTGGAGTTCTAAATATTAAAGCTATGTTACGGCATGTCCCACAACAAACAAATGTATTTTGTAAAGCCAACGTTGGAACCTAAAAACAGCACCATATAGGATAACCTTGTTAAGGTGGAGCCTCCTTTCGCAAGCATCGGAAAATTTTAAGAAGATGCCAAGGCACAGCCATGGGCTTGGAACAATCTGTTATTATCTTGATTTATCTTTTTTTCAGGAGTTTCTGGGAAAGTCATGGCATGCAACTATTTTAATCGAACCATTTAATAAAACATCACAGCAATGCCCATAAGATAACCAGCACAACATAAACACGAGAGATGACAAGATTCTCCACAAAACACACCTCATTCTTTAAGAAGTACAAATGTACATTTACACACAAAGATTTTTGGAAATTTGCTACAACCTTACAAATATCTCAATAATACTAAACATTGTACTGCCTAATTTATTTTACATTAATAGGGCAGAGAACATTATAAGAAGAGCTGTACATGCATAAGTAGGGTCAATGAGAGAACAAAATTAAAAAAATACAGGAACAAGGAATAAAATAAACTCTAATCAAGAATTCTAGATGGGCCTGCTGACTAATCTGCTGCTCAAATCTATGTTTCCATGAAATTATCCTGACAAAGTGCTTTATTTGGCTTTAGAAGGGGAGGAGAGAGAGTAATGAATTACCAGACAAACAGCAGAAGGAAGGTTCTGTGACCATCCTGTAGGATAAAAATAAACACACCAAATTTAGCTGTGTTTTCCTGATTCACATTACGGACGTAAACGCCAGCAAAAATATATTATCCCGCCAGATTGTTAATACGTTTTGCCTGTCTATTATGCATAGTTATCTGCTGATTTTGAAGCATTTCAGTTATTCCACATTTCATTGCAATATCAAACGTGAAAAATAGCTTCCTTAGTTACCATCAAACCCTACATCCTCTAAAATTTGAATATCCTGTGATAACACAGTGTTGATAAGTTGCAGATGGCTAAGGTTATTTACGGTCTTCTGGGTGCATGCGTCGATACACAAGTAGTTTCCATTATTAAAGACTTCCGTAGCCCTTACTTTTTATAGCACATATAGGAATATGTGCTATAAAAAGTAAGGGCTACGGAAGTCACCTTTGCAATATGTTGCACAGGCAACATTAGATTGAATTAAAAAAAAGAGAACTTAAAGGGATACTGTAGTGCCAGGAATACAAAGCTGTATTCCTGGCACTACCGTGTCACGTATTCATCCGCTTATAAAAATGTGGTTAATGACATTTACTGTCCACACAGGAAAAGTTGTGCCAAGCAGCAACCAAATCCATAGAAGGGTTAATGCTGAGCAGCAATTATGCAAATGAGAACCTGGTAACTGCCTTTGGGGTCATAGGCCGGTTACAGCCTATCAGACCTAGAGGAGGGGTATTTAGGCCCAGTTCTCATCCTGCTCAGTGCCCTGTCGTGGTTTCCCTTGTGGTTGTCCGAGAGCGCGTTATTGATTCTGGTAATTCTGGTTATTTGACTTTGGCATTGTTTTTTGACTTGTATCTCTTTCTGTATCCCTTGACCTTGGCTATTCCTGACTATTCTTTGGTACGTTAGTCCGGCCATTCTAAGGTCCGGTATACATTACCTATCAGTCCTCTGTGTTACACAATTCTACGTGCTGGATCATTCTGTAATCCTGACATTCCGATCCCTCTGCGTCCCGGTAAATAAAGGGTTACTTACCTGTTCCCGGGACAAGCCGGGTCTAATGCGAATGCGCAACAAATGCTGTGCGCGCATTAGAAGTCCCCATAGGAAAGCACTGAATCAATGCTTTTCTATGGTGAAAAATCTTACGTTAGAGTTTCTCGTGTAGAGTGTGAGGACGTCCAGCGTCAGATAACGGACCAAAAGTCCATTAGAATTCTGGAAGCACCCCCAGTGGCTGTCTGGTAGACAGCCACTGAAGGCAGACTTAGTGCTACAATGTAAACAGTGCAGTTTCTCTGGAACTGCAGTGTTTAACATTGCAGCATTAGGTGCAATAGGGACACAGCACCCAGACCACTTCAATGAGCTGAAGTGGTCTGGGTGCCTACATTGTAGGGCAGGGGCACTAAAGTGATAGGAATACAGATTTGTATTCATAACACTTTGGTGTTTCTTTAAACATTCTGGTGTCAGGAATACAAGCATGTATACTGTTTAACTACTTAGGTGACCGAACACTTTCTACGACCCGGAAAATATGTTTTTACTTGCCCACGACAAGCCAGTCTCACCGCTGCTGGCACCACCTCCATGGGTGAGCTCATCAATCTTTATCTATGCCAATCCAATGTGGCTTTTGCGCATGCACGGCAATACACTGTCCCAATCAGCATCTCCTCATAGAAATGCATTGAATCAATGCATCTCTATGGGGCACATTGAGAGTCTCCACGATCTGCAATAAAAACGCTGAACGCCAGTGCTGCACACTAAGAACACTCTCTAGTGGCCCTCTGATTGACTGGAATTGTGCATTGTCTTTTCTAGCTCAGCACTGTGTGGTTTTGTGCATGGACAGGTGGCCATCACTTAACACTCTCCAGGCCTGGACCACTGGGATATTTTCTGGTGGACCAAGGTATTGGATGTAGAGCAGGCTGCCAGATTACAGATGTGCTTGGAAGTGTTTGCCAGTGACCGTTCGTGATATGATACCGTGTTCATGACATTTAAAACACAGTGGTCGTCACTGGCAGTAACAGAGTTGGTGGTAAGCAAAGATTGGGTCACTTAGCCATGCAAAGATCTCTGTGACTGTTCAGTCATGCTGTATTCATCAAAATGAAGGATGCTGCTGTAATATATCTATCTCTCTCTATCATGCTCCAATGTGAACCATATACACAGAGATAGGATATCTGGCTTAATAAAATGACATGCATTTGTACTTGACCCCGTGTCAAAGGTTGCCAGCCCTCTGCTGAGTATGTGAATTCAACGGGCCACGTGTAAATACTTTATACGGTCAGCAAGTCATAAATATGTGAATGTCCATCTACATAGAATAGCAAACATAGGCGTGCGCACGGGGTGTGCCTGGGCACACCCTAATCCCCGTGGCACGCCTATGGTTTGAGTCCTGCAGGAACAGCGCCCCTGTTTCACCGTCATGGGGGGGCAAGAGGTGATGGATTCCCCCCCACCCCCCCCCGCTTTCCAGCTCAGCCGCGGCGAGGGAACTCTCTGCTGTCTGCTCTCTCACCGCGCGGTGATGCCAGGAGCCCGCAGGCTAGAGTTCATTCTCCATTGGACCACCAGGGATGGCACATGGCAGCAAGGATTTACTAATCTGCCAAATCCCTCCAAACATACAGCACACACACATACAGCTCACACACACACACAGTACACTAGCCGCACCCTCACAAACACAGCACCTTTAAAAAAAAAACACACAACACCCTCACACACACACACACAAACAGCACCCTCACAAATACACGACACTCACACAAACAGCACCCTCACAGGACAAACACACACACAAACACCCTCACACTCAAACAGCACAGTCACAAACACACACACACAAACACCCTCACATCACACTAACAGCACACACAGCAGTGTATGTGTGTGTGTGTATATATATATATATACATACACATACATACACACACGCGCGCGCGGCGTGTGTTTGTGCTTTAGGGTGCACACCCTAATGCAATAGGCTGCGCACGCCTATGATAGCAAATACTTGTGTTCATTTATATTTGCACACAACCATACACTTGTCCCTACACACATTTGAAAACAAGAAGGGGAAGGAGGAGCATCATGTGATTGCACAAAACCACGTCCCTCACCTTCCTATCACAAAGTTGCACACCACTATCCTTAAATAATTAGAAAGTTACATACTATAAATAACTAGGTATAGCTATATTTCAGCCTTGATCTATTCAAATTCATAAATTTAATTTTTTTTTATTTTTTATTTTAAATCAAACCCTTTATGTCTCCATTGCAATAATGTGGCAGCGAGTGGAAGGTCTACACTCAAATGTTTTTAAAAGCTTACTGCACAATATAAGCATGCACATTACAAGGATGTTTAGTTGGTCCTGAAGGCTAGGGGCCGGCTGGGGGGCAGTCAGTGAGTAAGCGTACCTCTTTTCTATGGGCCTCACCAGTGACACAGATGCAATGCCCCTTCATGGCTCCACCCACCCAGATTCCATGTCTCCCATTGAAAGTATGCTCTGGAGCTTCAAGCTCTCTGGTGGAAATAGTGAGCACAAAGCAAGAATTTAAACAACAAAAACGTTTTGAATACTTCGAATGGGAGAGGGGTGCCAGGGTACTCCAGGGACCACAACCAGAACCATTACAGCATAATGCTGCTATTCTGGTGTCTATAGCATGTCCTTGAGCACTATAAATGCTGCCTTTTCACAGTAAAGGCAGTGTATACATTACTGCCTAGTACAGAGATAGGCAACCTTCAGCACTGCAGATGTTTTGGACTACACCTCCCATGATGCTTTGCCAGCATTATGGCTATAAGAGCATTGTGGGAGACGTAGTCCACAGCATCAAGAGTGTCGAAGGTTGCCTATCCCTGGCCTAGTAACACCTCTATTGGCAATCACTCAGACGGCCACTAGAGGTGCTTCCTTTTCTAGTGTGCAGCACCTACGTTCAGCAGCTCTATTCTCTGCATGGAAGCGCTGAAAGTTCCCCATTGAGGAGTTGCTGATTGACGCAGTGCTTTGCTGCGCATGCACAATAGCTTCCCATTCCTATGGGAGAAAATATTTATTTTCCCAAACAACTGTAAAGGGGTCTGTAAAGGGGTCAGGGACCTAAATACTACACAGTGTCAGAAATACATGTTTATATTCCTGACACTACAGTGTTCCTTTAATGAAGCAGTTTTGTGTATAGACCATGCCTCTGTAGCCTTACGACTTAATTTTCTGCCATTTAGGAGTTAAATCACTTTTGTTTCTATATATGCAGCCTTAGCAACACTTTTCCTGGTGTGACTCAAACAGGCAGAATTGAAAAAAGAAATTGTTATTTTAAATCAGATGTTAACTTGCTTTAGAAGTGTATCTCATGCTCAGTATATTACACTTTATTCACACACACAGAAGGCACCTGCAGTGTCTAAAAGGTTATTAAAAGAGCAGGAGATAAGAAATTCTAAGTTAAACAGACTATGTAGAATAGAAAGTTTGCACATTAGATCTCTCTTAAAAGAAAAGATTTAGGAAGGCTGTGTAAGTCACTTGCAGGGAGGTGTGGCTAGAACTGCATAAACAAAGTGATTTAACTCATTAATGGCAGAAAACGTAACATTGAGACTGCTGTGGCATGATATATACACACCAAAACTGCTTCATTAAGCTTAAGTTGTGTTGGTGCCTATAGTGTCCATGTAAGATTCGAACTGTTGTAGAGTCGTTTCTTAAGTACCGGACTCCCCTGGGCACCTGCTGTCGAATTTTTTTTTTATTATTATTGCTAAAATGGAAGTTCTTACTTTCACATTTGTAATAGCAATTCATCCATTTTAGTAGAGAATTAGTTGGTTGAGGAAAGTCCGCTGATGCACTCTACCAATGAATGCTAATGAAACAGACAACACTTCTGCTTTAGCCGATATCTCAAGAAGGGCTAGACCATGTCAAACCTTACTAAAACAGTTTGACTCTTAAAGGGACACTATAGTCACCAAAACAGCTTTAGCTTAATGAAGCAGTTTTGGCGTATAGATCATGTCCCTGCAGTCTCACTGCTCAATTCTCTGCCATTTAGGAGTTAAATCACTTTATGAACCCTATTCACACCTCTATGCCTGTGGCTTGCACAGCCTTCCTAAACACTTCTTGTACAGAGTCATCTAAAGTTTATCCTTCCTTTATTGCAAGTTCTGTTTAATTTAGATTTTCTTATCCCCTGATATGTTAATAGCTTGCTAGACCCTGCAAGAGCCTCCTGTATGTGATTAAATTTAAAATTTACAGAGAAAGAGATACAATTGTTTAAGGTAAATTACATCTGATTGAAAAGTGAAACCAGTTTTTTTTTTCCATGCAGGCTGTGTCAGAGTCAGGGGAGGTGTGACAAGGTGCTGCATAAACAGAAACAAAGTGATTTAACTCCTAAATGGAATTGAATTGAGCAGTGAAACCTGAGAAGCATGACCTATACACTAAAACGGTATCATTAAGCTAAAGTTGTTTAGGTGACTATAGTGTTCCTTTAAACACTACAGCACACTGAAGCAGTTATATTGCATTAAGTGTCCCTTTAAATACCTACTGCACTTACAGGTGTTTCCTCTGTACACCTACTAAAGCTATATAATAATAATACACATATGATTAGAACATTCCTCTTAATATAAAACCCACCTACAATGAACCTTGCAAGAGTACAATTCAATGTGTTTTTATACCCCACCTCCTATGGACTGTAAGCGCCTTTAAGCAGGGTCCTCATCAATCTATCATTCTTGTAACATTTTGTAATGGTCTGATTTATTGTTAAATGTCCCCCCTCTTATAATATTGTAAAGCACTGGGGAATAAGTTTGCAATATATAAATGCTAAATTAAAAATAGAAAAATTAGCCACAAGTCAAAGGTGGCTTCCTAGGGGCCAGCGGTTAACAGGAATCCAGGTGTAATTAAGACAGTGGACTCTATTCACCATCTGTAAACTAAGAGTGTAAGGGGCCTCAAATTGGTCAAATGCCCGAGGCACTTTCTCAAGTCTTCCCCTCTATCCCTCCAGACTACACCAACCAGTCTCTGTACCATCAACACCACCAACTCCCTCCATACCACCAAAATCACTCTAAATAAGCAATCACCCCCAAATACTGCTAACCCCAGCACCGTCTCCCCACCCCCACCAATCAGATGTTCGGGTATAGTTACCGGGGGATCTCCTTGGCAAACTCCAGCTCGGAAGTCTTTGAAAGTCCGCAGACTTCGAATCGCTTGGGACACACTGAACCCCCTCATCTCTCCGTGTCCGTGCGATCTCCGGGCTCAGCAGATCCGTGGTCTCGGCTTATTGTGATCTTTAAGGCTCCAGGTTGCAACTAGCCTTCTGCTGCCCCAACCGCTGGCTCTGGAGATATAACCAGCTGAGCGTGACAACGGCAGGGGCTAGCCAATCAGCTGCCAGCACTAGCCGGGGAAACGGCCAGCCAGAAGCTAGAAGCCGTCACCGCCCCCGCCCAGCCCCTCATTTTACACACGGCGAGCGACTTCCGCTTCTAGAACGCAGAGTATAACAACAAAAATCTTTACATCAAGAACGTTCAAACGCGGCCCCTATAAGGGGATCCACCATATTTCCTGTGTATAGAATACCGCCGTCGGGTTAAGCCGCACATACTGCACTAGAGCGATAAAACAAGGCGGTTGTATGGGGGCTTTCATTGACATCCTTATCTACAGTACCGGATGAATCCTAGAAAGATAGGGCTTGGCCTTTGCTGCTTATTACCAGGGTAGCGTTCAAAAAATATTAAGGAATCCACAGCAATAACCCCGGATGAGGTACTAAAGCTGCTCTCATTGTGTCAACCACATTCTTACAGAGCTTCAACCAGAATTGTAATTAGACAAAGGAACCGCAGTTGGACACATCTGGACAAAAAAAAAAAAAAGTGCAATACAATAAAAACTGGCAGTAGAAAAAGCGGTTTGTCACAATTTGGCAATTTTAACCCAGGAAGTTCTGTAGAAAGGCAATTTTGGTTATTACAACCCCATTTGAACTGCTATATGGCTGCAGTTCGGTTCCCTGTTGAAATCAGCCATATCTCCATATAACATGGATGATTTGGTTAATCACAAAGAGGGGTCACTGGCCTTAAAGGACCACTATAGGCACCCAGACCACTTAAGCTTAATGAAGTGGTCTGGGTGCCTGGTCCAGCTAGGTTTAACCCTTTTTTCTATAAACATAGCAGTTTCAGAGAAACTGCTATGTTTACCTATGGGTTAATCCAACCTCTAATGGCTGTCTCATTGACAGCCGCTAGAGGCGCTTCTGCACTTCTCACTGTGAAAATCACAGTGAGAAGATGCCAGCATCCATAGGAAAGCATTGTGAATGCTTTCCTATGAGACTGGCTGAATGTGCGCGCGGCTCTTGCCACGCGTGCGCATTCAGCCGAGGAGGAGGAGAATCCCCCACCCGGCGCTGGAGAAAGAGGTAAGTTTAACCCCATCCACCCCCTAGAGCCCGGCGGGAGGGGGACCCTGAGGGGCACTATAGTGGTCCTTTAATGCAAATATGTATGAGTATGTGAGTGGTAACAAGTCTAGATCGGAATGACAAAAATCATAGCTAGGCTGTGGCTATAGCTGAATTTGACAACGTTTACAATTTCTTTAACCCAATTTTTATTTTTTTTAAATTTATTTTCAATATCCATCTGAAAATAACAAGGCTCCATGCGGCTCAATTTGGTTGTAAGTGACCACAATAATTTTATTAGTGTTGCTAATGGAATTTTAATACAATGCAGTGGCGTACTAAGGGGGGGGCGCTCTGTATTGAGCCTCAGGCGGCTGCAGCTTTGCCCGGGCGGTGCGTCCATGAGGGCGGACCGCACCGCCCGGGCGCAGCATGGGGAGAGGGGCTGACAGGAGGGAAGTGCTCAGCGCTCCCTCCTGTCAGCTTCCTCACTGCAGCATGGCAGGGGCGTATTAGCCGCGAGGCAAACAAGGCATTTGCCTTGGGCGGCATTTTTCAGGGGGCGGCCGCCCCCCAAATGCCCAGGGCAAATGCCTAGTTAGCCTTGCGGCTAACTGACATCCCAGGCGGGCGGGCGGCGCTGGCGAGGGAGCACTTCCTATGAGCTGACTGCTCAGCTCCCTCGCGCGCCGCAGAGTGAGGCTGGGAGCCGGAAGATGACATCATCTTCCGGCTCCCAGCCTCACTCTGCAGCCGGCGTGCGAGGGAGCTGAGCAGTCAGCTCATAGGAAGTGCTCCCTCGCCAGCGCCGCCCGCCTGCCAGCCCTGCAGCCACTGGACCACCGGACCACCAGGGAGAGAGACCTCCCCCCCCCCCAAAGGTAAGGAGGTTGGGGGGGGATTTAAATTTAAAAAAAAAGTTAATGTGTGTGTCTGTGTTTGTGTCTGACTGTGTGTGTGTGTGACTGTGTGTGTGTGTTTGTTGTGTATGTGTCTGACTGTCTGACTGCGTGTGTATGTGTCTGACTGTATGTGTGTATGTATGTGTCTGACTGTGTGTGTGTGTGTTTGTGTCTGACTGTGTATGTGTGTGTGTGACTGTGTGTGTTTGTGTCTGACTGTGTGTGTGTGTGTGTGTGTGTGTGTGTGTGTGTGTGTGTGTGTGTGTGTGTGTGTGTGTGTGTGTGTGTGTGTGTGTGTGTGTGTGTGTCTGTCTGTGTGTGTGTGTGTGTGTGTCTGTGTGTGTGTGTGTGTCTGTGTGTGTGTTTGTGTCTGTATATGTGTCTGACTGTGTGTGTGTATGTGTCTGACTGTGTGTGTGACTGTGTGTGTGTTTGTGTCTGTGTATGTGTCTGACTGTGTCTGTGTATGTGTCTGACTTTGTGTGTATGTGTCTGACTGTGTGTGTGTGTGTGTGTTTGTGTCTGTGTGTGTCTGACTGTGTGTGTTTGTGTCTGACTGTGTTTGTGAGTGTGTGTGTGTCTCTGAC